ATTTCACTATTTTGCCATACGGAAATTCAAAACAAAATTTTTTATCTGCGGATTTGGACAGTTTTTGACCTGTTTCATACGACTGGAAGGTGTATGCTGGTCACAAATGCCGTGCCAAACTGATTTCCTACGCAATTAATCAATTTTTGATGTGAATTTCGCTAATAAACACGAGGAGCATTTCAGGCATAACATTTGATAACGGCACAAAAGCATTTGTAAACAATCTTTATAAGGCCCTTTACACGAGAACCAAAGTACGCCCACGCAAATCAACAACATCATCGGATAGGGGCAACTATAACCTTTCCGAAAGTGGTATTGGTTTGCGTGGGCGTACTTTGATTAGCGTGTAAAGGGCTTTAGAAAGTTTGTTTACAAATGCTTTTGTGCCGTTATCAAATGTTATGCCTGATTTCTTATAGCAAAACATGCCATAACAAAATGGGCATAGTTCATTTTAGTAAACAAACTAATACTTCTTCCTTGTGTGTCACCTTTCATTCAGCTCCTAGGACGTGGCAGTAGACATTCTACTCTTCAGAAAAATGCTACGCTCGGCTCATATCAAACTCGCGAGTGAGGCTCCATCAAGCCTGATGCTGATTGACTCCAAGCCGAAGGCAGCCCGAAGGTCTTCCAACTCCGTGCAGTTCACGAGGATGTGCTCCACGGTGGCTGGCACTCCTCAGGGCAGCCCTCATAAACGCGAACCATCACATGACCTTACCGATAATGGTTATAAATTGTTTATAATCCCTGCTAAACTTCAACTGAAATGGTTATGGAACTTTACATGAACGTTTGTGTGATAAAGTTTTAACCTTATGTATTATGGTTTTTTGGAAGCGGACCTTACAAATAATGGGTTGTTAAGAACCATTACCATTCCAAATTCTTGTTTTCTCCATACATTTTCGGAAAGAGAACTATATTAGAACGTTTTTACTTATGATTTGAGAACATTAATGGTAATGGTTATGGTAGTCAGTAAGGTCCATTAATGGTTTTGTATTATCGCTCAACTTTACGTGGAATATATCGTGAATTGGTAATCAGGAATTTACAGGCAACCAATTCGCGATATATTCCACATAAAGTTGATCGATGTTACAAAACCATTCATGGACTTTACTGGTTACCATAACCATTACCTTTAATGTTCTCAAACCATAAGTTGAAAGGTTTTAGTATAGTTTTCTTTCCGAAAATGTATGGAGAAAACAAGAATTTTGAATGGTAATGGTTCTTAACAACCCATTATTTGTAAGGTCCACTTCCAAAAAACTATAATACTTAAGGTTAAAACTTTATCATTAAACGTTCATGTAAAGTTCCATAACCATTTCAGTTGAAGTTTAGCAGGGATTATAAACAATTTTAACCATTTTAGGTAAGGTAAATTTATGGTTCGCGCTTATGCGGGAGTCCCGAAAACTTCAGGAAAGAATAGACTTTCGGCGCGAAGTTTAAAGATGTGTAGTTTTTGGGAGTGGATACTAAGTGGTACTAAGATCTGTAAATTTTATATTATGTAAATTAGGAGAATCAGGAAAATATTGAGAAGCTATAAAAAGTTCCGTGAATTTCAGGGAAGTCCAGAGAACTGCAGTTTCATTTTAATAAGTGATATTCCCAATATATCGAACAGCTCTGTTAATTAATTGCAAGAACATTCAAAAAGTGCCGAGCAATTTTTGTGGGGTCTTCAGAAGTTCGTTGAATATCAGGAAAAATATTGGAATGTAAGAGATACATTCTACCAGGATATATCCACGTTTTTGCCTGATCTTTTGACAAATTTTGTACAGTTACTGAAAAAATTAAGAGTAACTGTTAATGTTTCTTCTACTACGCAGTAAAACAAGTAGTTCAAGAAACGAGAACAGTTAATTAAATAGGTCTATTCAGCTAGGCCTATTCTGCGCGGCGTGTGAGGTGAGGTGACAGTGAAGTGACAATTGTCACCTCGGGTGAGGTGACTCTCCATTTGATTTGCACGGAGAGTCACCAACCGGTGAACACTCGTGTTTATTTCAGTTACCATGGAGACGTAATTTGTGATTAGCCCCGGTCCCTTTCAAATTGTATCATTATTTATGAACGGCCTTATATTTGAAATCACGTTTCACATTCATCTAGTGATGTCCGATTTTCATTCGAATAATCGTTTAATCGATTAACGAACCGAAAAGTAAACTATTTATAATCGGTTAGATCATGCCGATATACGCATTAACATCTCCACAGGATCATCACCGATCGTTTCAAACATGTGCTGCACTCTCATTCGTGGAAAAATGGCAGCACAGCGAGCAAAACATAATCGATTAGTTGTTAATCGAGTAATTAAAAAATGGGACATCTCTGATTTTGGTGTGATTGTTTTGTTAAAAATGAGCGCAAAATTTCATCTCTTCCGAGGGGGCAGCAAAACCACAAAATTACCTTGAATACGGGGGGTTCTCATTGGATGAAAGGGACCGTGAAAGAAGACACTAAAATAGAAAGGTTTTCTTCCGACAGTTTCATCTTAGTATTCATCTTTGGAGTCACCTCACCCGAGGTGACAATTGTCACTTCACCATCACTTCACTGTCACCTCACCTCACACGCCGCGCAGAATACGCCAAAGCTTGATGGATGAATACAATTAAAGGTCCAACATTTTCATAGGCTACTATGATAGAAGTCTGCATCCAATGATTGCTTATAGCGAATTTGTTTATTATCCAGGTTGTAACCAGTTCTAACCCGTGCGAACCCGAGCTTATTGTCAGTGCAAGCCTCAACCCAAGCCAGGTTACAAAAGCAAACGTTCACACTGACATTTGACAGATAACAAGCAAATCGATCCAGGTTGGAACTGAATCAAAAACAAATTCGCTATTAGTTTCTCAACACCCCCTCTCAATCAATGAGACTCATTCCTGGATCCTGGAAACGATTCTTGTCTAACACTTTGGTGAATAAATCAGCTTCTTGGTCAATTGTGGAAATCAGCTTTATTTCAATGGTTCCAACTGCCACGTAGTCTCTAATGATAAAGACTTCTCTGACGTTTGTGATTGCACAAGTATTAGTGCAGAACTTTGGGTAAATTCAAAGGTTTTCTTGCACTAATACTTAAAATTTACCCCGAGTTCTGCACTAATACTTGTGCATTTCACAAACGTCAGAGAAGTCTATTGGCACTGGATCGTTCTTCTCCTTCTGCTTCCGGTCCTCCAGAACACGACTCAGCCAGATTGCTTCTGAAACCGCAGCCCTTAATGCGATGTATTCTGCCTCACTAGATGAAGCTGATACCGTTGCTTGCTTTCGGCTCGCTTATGCTACAGGACATACAAATACCTTAAAAATGTAGCCAGCGATTGACTTCCGGTCCACCAAATCCGATGTCCACTCTGAGTCGGCAAATCCCACACGCGGTTCCAATGATTCAGCTATCTTGAATAGCAGTCCCATGCTACTGGTACCATAGAGGTAACTCTAATAGCGAATTCGTTTATTATTCAGTTCCAACCTGGATCGGGTATCAGGATTGGGTCTGCTTGTTTTCTGACAAACGTCAGTTTGCTCGTTTGTTTTTAAATCCTAGCTCAGGTTGAGGTTCGCACTGACAAAAAGTTCGGTTTCGCACTGGGTTGGAACTGGTTCCAACCCCGATAATAAACGAATTCGCTATAAGACTAGTAGGTCCCGAAGAAACGTGCTCAACTTATTTGCTCAGCTCTGGTTTAGAGTTTAGAGTTGGAACTTGGCAAGCGAAACTGTTCAAATTCACCTTACCAGCAGTTCTTCACCGTTTCAAAACCGGTCATCTTCATTTGGTGCAACGAAGGTGCTAAGCTTGCAAACATGGTGCAATTGAATTTTGGAGATTGTGGTACTTGGGCTCATTTGCTTGGCAACGTTGCTTGAAGCTAAAAACAAAATTATTATTCAAATATTCTTCTCAAATCTTAACTGATTCAATTCTTCAATACTTACTAAAGCTTTGTTTACTCTTTGTGGTGAACTATGGATAAAGACGACGACAGGAATTCTTATTCTTGATTGTCAACATATCCTGCAGCTTGTGAAGCTCGACGAGAGGGCTGGAACGATAATGGAGTCTTTCCAAAACAGTTTTCCTCCTTCAGCACTTTTAATTCTTGCACAGCTTTGCTGCCAGCGGTATACACTGATCGAATTATTCGCCAGTAGTCGGACTTAGTATAATTTTGATAAAATAAAATAATCGAATCAATGTATAAACATTGGTTATGCATAAAATGATTAAATTTTATTCTTTCTTATTTTAGTAATATTTTTGAGTGTAGAACTAGAATTTTGACTAGAATGGGGTACCGTAAAACGGGGGAACATTGATAGTTTTTTAAAGTATATTCTAAATATTTTTTATAGCAATGAATGTTTTTCAAATTTTATATTTTTAAAACAAGTAGTAGTAAAAGTTTCAATTAGAGCTAGTTTTAGATTAAAATCATTCAACTTTTGCGAAAGACGGCGTTCAAGTCACATAAAACATCGCCCAAGATATAATTTTGGTTTTATCATAGTCTTGTAGACCATGATTTGTTCTTGAATAATGCTTTAAAACCTTGATAAAACTTGCAATGTTACTTGGGTATAGCGTTTAGATTAGCAATCATGTGTTTTATGGCGAGCTGATAGCAGAAAAAGTTTTACCCGTACCCTAGTTAGAGGGAACTAAATTGTGTGTAAATTCCCAAATTACAATTATGGTGAAAAATCAATGGAGTAACCAGCTCTAAATTTACCATTACAGCACTGAACTTGACCGTACGGTGGGGGAACGTTGTTAATCGATAGACTAAATTAAGAACGGCCTAAATACATACAGAGTGATTTAACTTTGAAATTCGATCAGATTCCAGGACTGTTCCGCCATCACAGACAACCCAACGGAAAAGATTTCTATAACATTTAAATGTAATCAAACTCATCAATGCATTCCCTCTATTCCCCCACAGAATACTACCAAAAAGACTCCTACTCCGAGTACAACTGCAACGAGCCGCTGCTGGAGTACGCCAAGCTGAGCGCCACCTCACAACTGCGGGAACGGGGGCCGGAAAATGCCCGCCTGAACGGTAAGTTCTGTTTTCCCTTCAAAATCTCATTTCGTCTGCACCTAATCCCTCTTAGATTTTTTTCATTTGTTGTTGTTATTCTATTCTGCGTTGCCTTCTCAATCGGACTTCTTGGGGTCCTTCATTTCCGCTTCGTATGTGTCTCAATATCTACACTCGTCTTCACTTTGGGGCTACTCGCGCAGCTTCAATCAACACACGTGGTCTTGTTGTTTTCCATCCTCAACTCATCGTGTACCGCGTTTGTGTTTGTTATTTCACCGATCTTTGTTTGTTTGTGCTGCTCTTTTCGCTTTCGTTGGCTTTTGGCATAGTGTATCTTTTTCCTTCCCATCTTCGACGGTACGTTTGCAAATGATTTTCCCTTTCTCTCATTTTATGATTTACGATTTGTTTCTATTAGTGTTCTGCAATTTTACTGCCTGTTTGCGAGAAGGATGATCAATTGCGTCTTCGTCGGTTGTCGGTTGAGGCGATCATTTTTGTTACCACTTTTTTTCTTCTCTTGTTGTTGAAATTTTGCACGCCACCCTCGCCTGTTGGTCTCTCTGTAAATATGCAAGCGATTGCTGCGGTTCTAAAAAGTTCTTCAAATTAGCAAATGCGAAAAAAAAGCGATGATAGTCCATCGTCGGTTATCATCATTTGGAGTGAGAATGCCAATTTATTTAGGTCTGGATCATGAGTTCGGTGGTGTTGCTTCAGTTCTGGCGTTTGCCGACACGTGGTATCGGATGGGTGGAAAATCAGCCATATGGCAGGCAGCAACCCTTGTCTTTTTTTTTTGCGGGGGGTGAATCTGCAAACATGACGCGTGCGGTAGGGTTTAATTACATGTGTACTTCCTATTGCATGGGTCCCGTGCTGAGCTGGTTGTTGTTTTTCCTTCTGCTGCTACTGTGACGCATGTTCCGGTTGTTGGGTTGGGTGCAATTGCATTCATTGCAATTGTCCGCAGAGCGTGTTTAGATAGAGGATGCGGAATGGTGATTTATGTTTTATCAAGCCATGGGGGCTAGCGTAGAGTTGGTAGAGGGGTGTTCAGGAACACAAGACAATTGATTTTCAAAAGATATAAGTTAGTTAGTTTTGTTTAGGGCAGTTTGAATTTCTACATCATTTAGGGTAAATGTCGGCTTCGGCACCCATTGACTGTTTTCGGCAATCAAAATTTAAACGTTAATTTCACTATGTTTTACCATCAACACACTTCCCTGAATGTATCCAAATGATTCTTTAGTCTTTCAGCTTCAATCTGATTATATTTGTAGGACCGAGCAATCCTTTTATGCCAGATTTTTCTTCAAATGAAGCATACGTAATACAAAATGGGGCTGATTTCGAGTTGCCGATAATAGAACAGCTGGTTAATACGCAGTTCTAATGGGAAGGTTGCCGAAGAAAAAGAGGCTGCCGACAATAGTCACACTCACCTGAGAAGTTAAGAGCGTTGTAAAAACGCTTTCAAACAGTTTTGAAGAATTCTGTCGATTGGAATGGATAGAGAAGCAAGCAGCAGATGAATTGAAACAAACAGACACGTCATATATGTGTGTGACGCTGTGAAAATGCTAATAGAAGTGCGGATGCTGCTTAGATTGACGAGAATACGTAAATTCCCCTATATGAACTGGGTGAATTTCATTAACGTGATTGCTGAAAAATGCACATCACGTAATAAAATGAAAATTGTATCATGTTTTACCACCACTATGATACAGAAAAAGATGCTTATTTCGTTTAAACTAGAGGTGGACAAAACAGCTCATCTGACTGAGCAGATCAGACCCGTCCAGCTCAATAAGGGGACCTGATTATTTTGAACACCTCTTCAGCTCACATTGAAATTATAGAAATTTTGATACAAATTAAAATAAATATATGGTTTTGGTGACCCTAAACCAATACAGCTATATCTTAAAACTACATAAAATCGTAAAATCAATCTGAACCAATAAATCCGTAGCTTACATCATTTCTCTACTTTTCAATTGAAAACGCCACTAACGCATCAATTGAACAACTATCGCGTAAACCAAAATTCACGCAAAATTGCCAAATCAGTAAAAGCAAAAAAATGTATGCGAGAGAGCTATACACGCGATGATAGAATTGACGCCTTTTCTCATGCTATGCAATTCAGTCTACATACAGATTTTAATGCAGATGTTAATTCTACAGCAAAATTGCTCTCACCATTCTTGGCTCAGATCCGGTTCCGGAGCAGAATCGTGAAGAATCGAGAGAAGAAAAAAGATCCGAAGAGCTTAATGGATCCGAGAGCTGTCATCCTGAACAGCTCTCAGTGAATCATTCAGGTCGATGATTCAGATTCGGAACTGAGCTGTGAAGTGGAGAGCTGAATTTCGTTGTTCGGTTATCTGCTTTTGTGCGGATTTTCCGCTCCCCCAGAGAATGATGGGAAGAGAGATGAGAGCACATATGTTGCAGCAATAACATCAGCAATAAGAGCCGGGAACGTAAATACATTGGATAATATCAGTAGACATTCTACATAGTGTAAAACATGTAAATATGTCTCTCACCCATAAAGTCGCTTGGAAGTTTGCTTTTATCGTTGATGCTATCGATCACATGTTGTATTACGCGTGCATCTTGGTTTACTCGCTGGCTGTTCAATGCGTAAGTGGAGTGTTGAGTCCTTCATTGAAAAGTTCCTCTATAAGTGATGGATTGAATGTTTTAGACTTGTTATATCAGTGAGCTGATGAGCTGCGGTTCCTAAAAATTAAACCGCGGGTTATCAGCTCACTTTAGTGAATCGAGTCTTTAGGCTGTGTTCCATTTGGAAATTTTTCACTTAAATTTAACACTAAATAAATTATGATGTTCGAAAATCCCTCTGTTGTTGAACGGCCGATTTTCGAGAAAGCATCTGTCAAAGTTGATTCCTTGTCTGTCAGAAATAAGTCTGCTGGAATAGCAAGTTTATTTGAATATTTTCCATCTGTCAAATTAAAGTAAAAATTCACCAAATGGAACACAGCTTTAGAACAGCTCGGGAGCGGATCGCACATTTCTAGTTTAATCTATGCTGACTTCTTCAGTGTCTTCATCATATTTGCACTGTTACGCTGGACTTAGTCGAATCTGCCATCAAGAAGCTGAAATTTACCTGAAGAAATGCCTTCTTGCATATCGAAGAGATGCTCTATGTTATCTAAGATTAAATAAGGCAAAAAGATGACCCACACATAATTTTCCCATATATTGCACATGAGACACCCCAATATTAATTATTACAGCCATCTGTGGAGAAAAAAGCGAAAAAATAATAGATTTGAATCAAACCAATTTACCGTGCATGGATTTGACAGGACGCAAAACGATGAAAAATAAGAAGAAGAGTTGTAAACAATATTCTTCTTAGCCTTCCGCGAGTTAATTTGAAAATCGGATCTGTTTTTTATGAGCGTTTCCTAATCATTTTTATTGCCGTGGTGTGAAAAGTGAACCTCGAGGTGAAACTTGTGGATAGGCATGTAAAACTGAAAAACGAGGCTACAGTACGGAACCAGTGAAATGCGGTGACGTGGGCTAACAATATAATGATAATATTTCGATTCCAGATTAGGTCGAGTACGTCGAGTACCGGAGGATCATTTTCATGATGTTGATACAGGCATTGAAGATTATCATGCTCAGTGTGGCCCTTCTTGACAAGGACATATTGGGAACCGAATAACAAAGAGCTCGGCTGGAGATTCATCGCGCTTTACGCCCTTCTACGGCTACCGTCAACGATGCGACGAAATCGAGTGTCCAATATCATGGTCACTGTTGCACTTTCGGCCCTCACTCTAATCGTAACATTCGTCCATATTGGTTAAAATGTTGGCCACTGCAATGTATGAACCATCAATTGACACCATAATCGATTTTGTCAAGGGCGGTCTCCTCTGGAATGCTCCATATGACGTGTCGATGTACCTTATCGTTGTAAGCGGAAATGTAAGCTTGGTATGGTTTTTGATTTTATACAGGTACGTTTAATTCCCAACTCCTGATTCTAGCCTTACATCAAGAAGATCCTGACCAAGTTCAACGTCACACCAATATTGAAATTAGAAACCAACCGTGGAACTGAACATTAATCATTTTTTGCGCTATTCCGGAAATCGCGAGACATTCTATGTCTTGGAAATGCAGTAGCAGACGCACAATAATACATGGAAGGGAGAAATGTAGAACACACATAAAACGCTAAATACATGTTGAACTTTAAAAGATACTGATATTTATTCGACGTAAGCAAGAACATTAAGGATTGTACATCAAGTGGTCTCACATTTTAATAAGCATTGATTCGAACAAAGAACGTATGGATACTGTGACTGTACAGTTATCTTATTGTATGTTGAGCTTCTTGCGTTTAGTTAGTTCCCTCTTAGTTTTTTTGTTCTTACGATTTGTTTTATCATCTACTTTTATCTTCATGTTCATGATCTGTAATTTGGCTTTTACCAACATATTTAGATATTTGTTGGCAACTATCATTGCACAAGGAACGCAAAGTACGTCATATACCAGCTTATCGTTATTTTTCGATTAGTACGGCCAGAAAATAGTTTGCAATATAGCACGCTTAACACCACGAACGCTTTTTTTCAGATGTGTTTCGAAAGTTTTCTCGAAGACGGAAACAATTTTTTTTGCAAAACTGAAACATCTTTTCTCCTGGAACGAACAACCGACTTTCTGGCTTATATCTCTTCAAGTCGAGTAGAAACGCTGACCTGCTAGTAACATCAGAGGTGGCCCTTTCGATGCATTCTCGGTGTTTCAATCGAGAGCAGAACCATCCAGTTGAGTAGTAAATGCTGCTCAGCTGATTAGGATCGGTGATATCGCTTTCGTTGACTTTCTTGTTACGGGGCCTTCGTTTTTGAGGTGCCTTCGGGATTAACTTAATTTTAGACATTTGGGATGTGTTTACGAAATACTTGCTGATGTCGGCTTGAACATTACCAAGCTTTTTA